GGATGGGGGGTAATTTTGGGGGTCGGGGTCGGGGATGGGGAGTAATCCCCACCTGAACCTGTGCTCCGTTGCCATTCCTAGACCCAACACAGAAAGTCTTGAAGCTATGTTTGGTGAAAAAATCCAGGAAGCCAGGATACACTTTAATTGAGCTAATAAATCAACTTCTTGGTGAAGCTAGTTTCAGTAGCTTCTTCAACACAACTCAATCAAAGTTGAAGCCCTCCCAAACAGGCTTAATGGGTAAAATGCATTGGTGTAGACAGCACAAAGGTAAGAGACTGATTTTTTCTCTCTATCATTTCCTCTTGATACCTAGGACCCATTTTAGCCACCTAATTAACTACTTTTGGGGTGGGTCTTGCATCAATAATCAGATTTGTTTTAGGCAAGAAAATTTTGAATGTTATTTATGCACATGCACTTTAAGTGAGTCCAGATGAAAAATAATTAAAAGATGATTTTAGGAAATCTTCAATGGACCAATTCAAGAAATCAAATAAGGAGAGATTTTTATAGGACACCTAAATAGTCACCTAGAGGAAAGAAGTGAAGGGTATGATAAAGTGCATAGAGGATTTGGATTTGGACATTCGAGAAAGATGAAGGAAGAGTAAACACAAGGTGGTTAGGAGGGGGGAGAAAAAAAAGGCGGTCGAGTTCTCTAAATTCTCAAATAGAAGACTACACATCTAAGATGGTAACGGAGTCCTCCAAGTGTATTAGAGGGAGAGGAAGAGGAGAAAGGAATAAAAGGCAGATTGCATAGTTGCTCCTTTTGCTTGGGTGTGGTTGTTGAGGGGGATGATATGGATGTCGGCACATGCATGTTTGAGAAATGGTGTTTCCTTGTGATGAGTTTGTCTTGATTGAACTTGGACAACTAGGTTAAAGATAAAGTGCTGATTTGAGTATAGTTGGCACGATTCCAAAAGAAAATTGGAGAAGAAAGGTGGACAGGTATTGAGAAAATTGCTGAGCAAAATGTTAAAATTGGAGAAAAAACTTGGCCCTTTCTTTTTGGGAGGAGAGGCGCTTGCTAGAAGAGCCATTGAAGAGTTCGAGAGAAGGAGGGAGCAGAGTCTAAAGAAAGTTATTGCGGGAGAAGGAGGAGAGGCTTGGAATGAAGCAAAAGTTGGGAGTGGTGATGGGCATGCAGAGAAGTAATGGAGGCTGGCACATGTCTCACATTTTTTGTGTTTGTTGTTGTTGTTGTGGGGTCTGGGTGGAAGGGGGTGCTGGGTGTTCTTTGTGGGTGACTGCTTGTCACCTCTCTTGTTCGCTTTTTTCATTAATTTTCTATTATTATAAAAAAAAAATTACACCATAGTTAGACAGCAATAGAGATGCAAAAGAGGCAGTTAATTAAGAGAAGCAAGTGAAATGCAAGTATTAGCAGTGGTGAGCAGCTGAACATGTTCAAGAGATGTGTGTGAGATTGGGAAAGGTGTGCTACTGTGTACCAACCTGCACATGACGGTCTTTCATAACAAGCCAAGTTGAGGTGGCATAACAGATCAGTATGCATTGTCAAACAAACATTCTAACAACACTTTTGATGTGACTTTTTAAGACAAGGCAATAAAGTCCAAGAACTGGCAAGAATAACTATAAATACAGACTCAGATCCCAAAGACAAACAACCAAAATCAGACATACATCAAAAAAGGGAGTATCAACTTAGGAACCATAACCTAGGATATTCCTATACAGACCCCAGTCCAGTGCTTGGTCTTCTTCACTGACTCACCGTGATTACCACAGGAGCTTCAGCATTACTCCAACTTTCAAAGTACAAACCACCCGACTCATCACCATCGCCTTACACATACTTTATTAACACTTAAATCATAATTCAATAGCCAACAACCAACTACAATCTTATTCTTGAAGCATGCTTTAAAACCTAAACAGCAAAGCTTACACAAAAGCCAAACCAATCAACCTGTAAACCTTTTTCTGCATATCTCAAAGGACTTTGGCTGGTAGATAAAGTTCGCCATGGATTGAATAACGAAGACAGCCAAAAGTAGAAAAATACAGAGTGAAAAATGTATGAAAGTGATCTACCATCTTCTTATTTTCTAAAACATGGAGCATAAATGACAAGGAATATCCCAAATCTTTTTTTTTTTTTGATGATTAAGGAATATCCCAAATCTTACAAATATGCATCCATTCACTTCTACAACACCTCAGAGAGAAGGAACTAATCAGCCCAACATCAGCTCCAGCCACTAAGGAGCTTGCAACCTCCTGAATAACTTATTCACTAAAATCCTAAGCAATAAGTGCCTCCTTTGAGGAGGGCTAAAGCACAATGGCTTCTAGGGATGGCAATTTTCCCCATCCCCGGCGAGGACCCGATTTCCCCGACCCCATTGGGTCGGGAATGGGGATTGAGGTCCCCGCCCCGCCCAAACCCATATATATATATATATATATATATAATCACCAATTATATATATAGGCATAGATATAGATA